ATAAAAATATTAAGAGCAAAAAGATAAAAATGTGGTCAACTTAAAACAGCTTATAAGCTAAAAAAAAGCACCCCTACCCCAGCTTTTAACTTTTGGCTTAAAATAAGTTTTTTTAACTTAAAATAAGTTATTTTGAGTATTGCCAAACAGCTAAATAAGTCAAAAACCAGCTTTTAAGTCAGTTTGACTAGCTTTTAAGCTGAGCCAAACAGGCTCTAAGAGTGGATATGGAAGTGATCTAATGTTTGTGAGGTTGATTTTATTGTAGGTCATGTGGTGTGATGCTCCTGTGTCTATGATCCAAGAGTCAACATTCAATTTTACACATTTACAAGAAAGATCACCAACATCAGTAATAGAGGAGTAACAAGCAAGTATACCTGCCAGATTCACAGCTCCATTCAACATTATGTATGAGTTGTCTGAGTCAGAAGCTCCCATTTTAACTTGCAGAGTCCTTAAATGGTTAAGCAATTGTTTATATTGTTCTTTGGATAGGTTCAATGGCATTTGCCTCTTTAATTCAGGTCCATCCTTAGCCTAATGCACATTCATATCAGATGCACACACATGTGATGTAGAACCTGTGCCTTTTCCCTTTTGAACCATTGAATTGGATGGATACCCATGAAGCTTGTAACATCTATCCTTTGTGTGCGTGATATCTTGCAGTAATCACAAAACAAAGATGACCTGCCAGTACTGGAGTTGCCCCTAATCATAACATTTGTGTTTGTATTTGCAGAACTAGTTCCATTATCTCTAGATGAATTGTAGTTAGTTCTGAACCCTTTACATTCTGCATTATTGTTGGTCTGGCCATAGGCATTCAGTGAGGTAGAATCTAAGTCTGTATGATTGTGAGGTCTCACTTCTCTTTGTTTTTCCTTTTGGGACAAGATGGCAAAAGCTTGAGCGATGCTAGGAAGTATATTGATCATGAGAATATTGCCTCTAACAGTTGTGTTCATTTAATCCCATTAAAAATGTATGAGTCTCCTGTCTTGTTCAGCTTTGTGCATTTTGGTCTTACCACCACAAACACACACACAAGTGCACTGAGAACTAACATCGATGGTGCTCATTTCCTCCCACAACTTCTTCATCTTTGTGTAATATCCAGTAATGTCCACAGTGCCTTGGACAAGATCATTGATCTCTTTTTGCAACTGATACATCTTACAACCATTTGTTTGATCGTATCTCTCTTCCAATTCTGCCAAAAGTTCCTTGGAATTGTTCAAATACTGTAAGCTATCAAGCAATTCTGGGGAAATGGAATTCAAAATCTAAGAGGTGACCATGTCATCACATCTCTCCCATTGCATGAAATCAGGATCAGTATTAGTAAGTCGCACGATTGTTCCATTAATGAACCCTGTTTTACTCTTGACTGAAAGGGATCTAAGAAAAACCCTTCTCCAAGATCTATACCCAATGCCATCGAAAACCGCAGGCAAAAGAGAGGAACCTGCACTCTCTGAAGGATGCAAGTAAAAAGGACTGGAAAAATCCATTCGAACTGTGGACGAACTAGAAGCAGAATCAGCTTGGAGATCAACCATGATGTTCGATTTGTTCGCAAAGTTATTCAATTACAAAATAAAAATTCAATTTGTGCAATAAACCAGAGAACTCAGCAGCAAAGATGATATTGCGAAATTCAAACAACAACAGAGAATTGCGCAAATTCAACAACAACAGAGATTCACAATTACATCGGAAAATAACTCAAGGAGTAAATAAAAATGGAGGAAAACACAACCAATTTTACAACTCTGATACTATGATAAAATCAGCAACATACATCTACTAATTTGCTCTGTTCCTTCATTAATGGAGGTCAAACTTATACGCAGAGAGATTGGATCGAGAGAGAAGAAGAAGAAGGAACTTTCATTGAAAACTACTCTCTAATAAGTGTCACATTGTGATACTTATATACAAGATCTAATTGACAAAATCTGGAAGCATCTACTAAACAAACTAATTGACTGACTAACTAACTTCACACTGTTAACTAACTCTACTGTGCTAACTAACTTCACTATACATTATAACAAATTTTACTGTACACTATATTCAAAACAAAGTTACTGGTGGATTATGTGAATGATATCAACTTCACACCATGGAGAATTCATGATAAAGTGAAAGAATTGAAAGGCACTACTGGTTTCATCTTAAGTCATTGCTACAGAGAGGCAAACAAAGTTGCGGACCTACTAGCATCTCTTGGCTATGACAACGGTAACAACAAGACCTACGAATCATTTGTAGATTTACCAACTAGAGTAAAAGGTCTAATGAGCATGGATAGGTGCGAAATGACTAACTTTAGAACCATGAAGAAGAAGAGTAACGAACTGGTTTGGGACCCTCCATGAGGCCGTTGTGAATACTGACAGTTTTAGTTGTTTTTTGATGTTCTGGCACATTTGGTTACAAAAACCAAATTTATATGCCAACTTTTGTATTCTCTTCATCTCAAATAGGATAGTTATTACGATCATTTCTCATAGGGAGTAATAAGTCACTGGATGTAATCTCCCTCAGACCAATTGTAACTTTTTGTTAGAAGATGAATAAAATGCAAGGTTACTTTCTGGAAGGAAAAAAAAAGAACTCCCCTACCTCTCGAGCTAGTGAACACAAACTATTACTTTGTATTATGTATCCTCATAATGTTTTTCTACAACTGTCACGTACACTTTTAAAATATATATGCATGACACATTGGAAATGTGAATGATGTGGATGTCCATACAAATAAATAGTACGCCACCATCTCTAACATTTATCCTCTTTCAAAATCTTTTATTTAATCTCTTAATTATCACACAAATCAATCCTAGTCGCCTGATTTTTTCTTTTACATGAATGTTATTTTCGAAGAATCACTCATAAAAAGTTTAACTGTCAAAGTTAATGGTAGATTTCAATCGATCTGATTTTCTTGTAACAATCTCCTCTAGTCAATACGGCTAAGTCTTGGCTGGCATACATTGGGCAGGAAAACATACTCTTGGAATAATGGTTTGAAAATTTTAGGTTAGACTAATCTCAAACAATTGTGAGCAAGGTGCGATCTTGAAAAGTTCGAGCATAGATTGGTCAAAATTTCTTAGCTTGAATTGGAATTCGTTAAACTTCTTGCATCTGAGGCATGTTAGTCATGCATGAGCATGAAGCTACGTAGAGAAGAAATGGAAGAAGAGAAACAGAGAAGAACAGTAAAGAACAGAGAAGAAGAAACAGTTTAGAGGAGGAAAACTTGTATATCTTTGTGTATTTCCAAAAGTATATCTAATCTGTACATTCAACCATTTATATACAAGAATAAAAAGACTGAATTTATTCTAACTACTTCTAACAAACTTCTAACTACTTTAACAACTTCTTTGATGTATAGTCCTCTTAATTACAATTATTTACATAATGAACCTTGCACTATAGCTTTAAGTAATGCCTTCTTTAATAGAATTTCTATTATCTATGGCATTAAGAAATTCATAGGAATTTTCGGAAATAAATTCGGGTAAGTGGAACTCCCGATATAGAACTTTTGTGAAGGGGTTAGTTTAGAACATTAAAATTCGAAGGTGAGTTGTGAAGTGGGGACTTTTGAAGAGAATTTTAAAATTATTCTATCCCATACAATCTACTTTAACGATGCCATGCCGCTTTAGAGGAAATTGATTCCCACTATAACGGGTGGTTCCGTTATGGTTGAGCCGCAATAACGGATTGAACCACTATAACAGGTTGAACCGAGATATGACGTGAATTTATGCGAAAAGAATCATCGTCATTATTTTGCAAACTCATTTTCAGGAAGAACATCGACCTATAGCATTTTTTGCTGGGTTTTCATCAAATTCTTCTATGAACGTAAGTTCACTACTCCCCTAATATAGTAATCCAATTCTTGGACCTTAGAGTCAATGATGGTTGACTTAGTAATAATTTTGACTAGAATTAATAGTAGAAAACTCGTGATTTGGGTAGGATGATCATGAGAATGGCTTGGGGTTTAGGATTTTGTAAAATTTCAACTGGCCATTATTTAGTAATTATATTATTATATATGTTATTGTTATAGATCAAGAAAAAGTCAAATTTCACAATTACAAAGAGAAAGTATAACAATACCTCAAAATTTGGAAAGTCATTGAAAAAAGAGAAGTGAAGAAAATTTCACTAAAGTGGTGAACTACGAGTTCAATCTATGAATTGTAGGATGTCCAACGGTCCGTACAAATGCAATAGTAGAAGTTGAGTTGAGTTTTGGATATTTCATGTTTCTGAAGTTTCACCTATGACTTGACGAGACGAGTCACAGGAAGTTTGACGAGTCGTAGAGTCTCCTGTATAAATTATTCAGAAATTTGATTTAATAACTCAGACATATGAAAAGATTTGACAGATCGTAGTTGATTCTACGGGCCTTAGGAAGGTTTCATAGAAGTAAACTAGACTTAGTAAAATTTGAAACATGAACTTATGTTCTGCGAGGACTACGAACTATAGATGGAATGACGGGCCGTAGAAAGACCTCGTGGGAAATGATTGAATTTTTGAGTTTTTGAAGTTGATTCTACAATTGACCGGTACGGTCATAGAAATTTCTACGGACCATAAATCTCTGGCAATTTTAAGGAAGGGTGATTTGGTCTTTTCTTATCTAATTAACCCATATTCTATGTCGTTTTGGATCTATAACTACCCACATAGTTGATTTTCTAGTTCTAAATCTACCGAAACCCTCTCATTTCCTTAAATCCCCAATCTTCATGCACATTCATCCTCTCCAAATTCTCTCAAACTCAAGGTAGAAATCTAGTGTTCAAGCTTCAAGCTTCCCTTTCCCCCCATTACATTTGGTCTTTGATTATGTATATGAGAATTTACAAATGTATTTCATTTATCTATCGGGTCCCAAAAGATCTCCAATTATCAATTCAATTTCATCAAAACTGGTTAGGAAAAATTTAACTCAATTCTCCATGTGTTCTTGATGAGTTTGAGATTTTGACTCATTTAAGGTATGAACATCACAGTTTAATGACCTCATATGCCAAATGTTATGCTCTAAACTACAGCTTATGTATTGATTTGTATCTAAAAGAACATAAAGAGAAACGAAAGAACATTAATAGGCCAAAGAGAGAAGAATAACAACCAGGACCCGAATCTCATTATTAACACCTAGTTTTTTATATATATTTTTGACTTCGCTACTTTCTTAACTATGAAAGATGTGGTTGTATATTTTTGCATATTTGTATATTTGAGATATGATAAGTCAATTTTGTATTTAGGGTTTGTTTGTAAAGCCACCTAGTAATTGAAATTGGTGTAATTACCAACCTAGTAATTACACTGACCGATTTGGTTGTCACAGTGTAATTACATTGTAATTACACCTATATTGTTTGGATGCCACAATGTAATTACACATGTTGTGTTTGGATGCACAATTGCAATCATAAAATTATATTAAATTTTAAAAATAAAGATTAACTATTTAGTATATATACTAGACAAATAAATTTTTTTTTATAAATAATATTAAGTTAAATATTTAAGATAGATGTTTTTTTTAAAACATATTACTTAATAAACATATGTTCTTAATTAATATTATGAAAAATTATTGATTTATATTTTCTGAAATCAATATGTTTCAATTGAATTGATCATAAAAACTAAAAGTATGAAGTTTTTATGAACATCGTGAAATGCATGTATAATTTTAAAAAAAAGATTAATATACAAATAATCTGTCATAAATTATTAATTATTCGACAAAAAGATAATTTACCAAGTCTAATTAAAAAATAACTTGCAATGTGAATTCAATATTACTAAAACAAATGAAACTAAATATACAACATAAGTTATAAATTCAAAACAAAAAAATTAACATAGTACTCTTATAGCAAA